TCTTCCTGCTCCTTTACCCAGCTTCGAGACCAATTTTTCTTCCACTTATCACAGAATCATGAATACATTACACCCCCAAAGGCACACACAATAATAGATCGATATCCCTTGTGCTGTTGGCGGCCAGATCAGAGGCAGAGGGGAAGGCATCGTGGGGCGAGGAAACGGGGCTGGACTGGCCCGCAGTCAAGGTTCACAATTTCGGCCGCAACACCACCGCAAATATGCCTCGCATGATAAAATACTTTTGGCGACAGCTTCAATACTTTTCAATTGAGTCACAGCAGAAATTTCGAATAGATTGCGATAAAATTAGAAGTGTAAGCCAGAGATTTCCTGATTTCCCCCACCTATTTCTAACCCATCAGCTGTCCCAGAATTTTGCCCTTGTCCCAGAATTTTGCCGCCCACTCTATGAGTGGGGTTCCTTTTTAGTCAAACCCACGAGTAGAGTTGCGTCATGGGAGGTCGATAGGAGCAGAGTTTTGGCCAGACAGCCGGATTTGTGGCGGGAACTGAGACTTTAATGAGCGATGATCCTTGCCGAAAAGCATGTGAAGGGGTCTAAGAGATCATCTAATTTGCGTTCTCAGCTGTATGTTTTGGGTGATCATGCTGCAATAGAAATGATATGCACTGCCAACGGCCAAGAATTGATGATGCGTATAACATTCTGGATCTGAGTACTGTTTGCTTATACGATTGGGGAAATGATAAGAGCGTATTCGCGTCGTAAACGACCAGACATCCATGATGTATGATTGCGTTTTCGTCCATATGATGCTGATACTGAAGATACCTGAATAAAATAGACCTGAACAAGTAGAGCCAATTATGCCGCTTGTGTCATTCCTCATGCAAGATAAGCTATTTTCAGCTCCTGTTGATCTTATGCTGTGCTTCGTTTCTCCAATTGAAGCGTTGCAGGGTCTCGCCACAAATCGACCAACCCTGGACTTGGCTTTTTACCCCAGGTTGGAGACGCTGGAGACGCTGGGCTCTGGAGTTGCTGACTGATACCCGCCTGTAGATTAGGTAGCAGACTGAGGGAAAACTTAGGATCTTCATCCTAGATGACAAAAAGACTTAGATGAACTATCCCGAGCTTAGGAGACTATTTGATGAGCGTATTTTGGCATCTTTTATTCAAGATCTTATGTTTTCTTGCTCCCTGAGGGCAGATTACCTACGTCGCTGTTGCACGACGCTTCTCCGCGTTCGGGGCACCTCACAGGCATCTCGGTCTCGGTACGTACCTCGGAGCGGCAGAGACCCCGTGTCGCACCTACCAACCTTAGCCAAAGCTGGGAGAAGCCGAGGCAGGCCACTGTTGCTGCTTCGGTCGCTCTGAGCCGCTGCCGAGCTCCAAAGCCACCTCCAATTTCTAATCTCAACCTCACAGTAGCTTCATCCTCATCCCCTTGGGGTTTCTTTTTTTGTTTACGCGCAATTGTATACTCGAGATTGCTCTTTCTTGTTTGTTTGTCCAGACCTTGCGACTTTACCAATTGAAGGACTCCCAGAGCGATGCAGTGATCCCCGCGTTTGCGCTTCGAGCTTCCTGTAACAATATCGTCCTCCGCAACCTTTACCACATTCCCTCAAGCTTGACTCCTTCTCAAGATGGCGTCCTCTTCAAAGTCAGCTTTGACTTCAAACAGGCGGAGGAACCGCAGACGTCGTCAGGACAAGCCTGCCATTGCTGCAAAACTGGTGCTTGACGATCATATTAAGAGCGATGTCGGCATAGTATCCGAGGACATCTTTCGAGATCTCTTCCCCCATCTAGGTAACGGTAAGTCAAGCACATCTTTCATTACAGGTCAATACTAGAACGAAATCTCAGCTCAACTCTACCAAGGCGCTACCGAAGACGTTCACCACATTGCGATCGCTCCGTGGATACCCAATGCCAACCCTACCGACAGTCCGTGGTCAATTGTACCCATTATCGAGTCTTCTGCACTCGCGCCCTCGACCGTCCGATTTTCACCGTCTTCTGCTTCCTTACAAAGCTTTGCCGTGACGCTACAACAGGTCGCGCCATCCAAGCTATCAAGTCACAGCCGCGGCGGAATCGAGATTCTCGTGCTTGACGTGGCGCCCGTTCCTCTCGAGACCGTTTTCGTGAGCCTGGAGAGTGAATTGACGAAAAGACTGGAGAATGGGGAGGGTACCTTCTTCCGAGATCACCCTGCCAGCTCCAAGGCGAAAGGGGCCGATTCAACACCGGATGGGCGCCTTGTGACTTCTCTGAGAGCTGCCCTGAGCAGTCTAAAGGTTGTACATGCAGGCGATCTATTTCCACTTCCTCTTCCGCCGCACCCTCTTACACACGTGCCTCCGAACCCTGGAAAGATCATGCTGTGCGAGCCTGTTGCCCAAGGTGTTTTAACGGAGTCAACCAAGATCATTCTTATGCGCGGCCGTGTCCATACCAAGCAGATACGTCGCGTTGCTTCGATGACCGCTAGCCAACAGCTTAATGGTGTTCCCGAGGATGAGGATGATACCAGCAACGACCAGTTCTACTCTGCAGCTGAGGATCGCGATAAGTCAGGAATGACGACCGAGGATATGGAGTCCGCGACCGAAACTGAGCCAGATATGTCTGATTTCGACAACGAGGACGAATTGTCAGATGATTCTATGGACGATATGATTTCTTTGCAAGCACCAACTCTGCCCACAACCAATGCCAGCGGTGTATCAACACTACAGCCAGGCACGCCTATGACAGTTGGAACTCTTCGTGGCAGGAAAACAAATGGAATTGCAACGCCTGGCTCCGTTTTCTCCAATTTTACTGCGACCACTGCTCGACCAGACCGCCCTCGAGGTCGTCTTTTCAAGGCCCAGGGTCTGATGGAACAAATTCCGACAGACCTTTTGCACCCGAAGCCATCTCTAGAAGACGACGAGGAAGCGCGAATCTACGTCGATGTGACATCGTTAAGCCGAATTGGATGTTTTTCTGGAGATTGGGTAAGAATAGAAGCTGCAGAGGAACCCCCTGCAAATGGATTTGGTGCATTTGGCCTCGGAAGTTTTGGTCAAGTTGAGTCGGAGCCTGCCAAATGGCGACCCGTTCGAGTCTACGGTCTTCCTGAAGGGTATTCGCAACGGCCAATGACTAGAATACCCAGCGCTAAACATGGTGAGAGAAGATTGTCATTCTTCGAATCCCAGATTCAGCGGCCGGCCAGTCCCACTGCCTATGCCTCACCAATACTCTTAGCCAATCTTGACGATGCACCCTATCTACGTCTTGCGCCCCTGAAAAAGGCATCGTATCAAGGCAAGGGAACAATTCCTCGATTTACTAGTGCAGCTCGTCCCCCCTACGCTCGAGATATTACTATCCACCACATTCGAACTCCTATCTCTGCAGAGCGAGCTTTCCAAACCGCCGTTCTAGGTGGGCTCAAACGATACTTCGCACAGAAAATCCGCCTTGTTCGAAGCGGCGATCTTATCGCTGTCCCAGTCGACGCTGAGCTTGGCCGTACGCTCCAGGAGATGCCTGGTGCAGGAGGATCCGAAGTGGACGATGTGATGGCGCTTACTGCTGGTGGACAGGAGGGAGGAAAGCAACCCTCCAAGTTCGACAGCGTAGCATGGTTCAAGGTTGGACATATTCAAATTCAGAAAGCGGATGAGGACGAAGATGGAAGCGCCGAGGCTTTCTGGGGATCAGTTGCGTGCATTGATAGTTCATCTGTTGCCATGCATGGTTCAGGCTTCGAAACAAGTCGCATACCAGGTATCAAGCAGAGCACATGGCAATATTACCTTGGTCTTAAGAAGACACCAAAAAAGGCATCGGAGTCGACACCAGCTCCAATCCAGGAACCGGAGTTACCATATGTGTCACCTCTCAGACGCCAGTTGAGGGAGCTGATTGCAGCAGCCACGAGCGCCAGAGCTATTCATCTTAAGATGCCCCCTGTCGCAATTCTGTTGACATCAACACATCGAAACATTGGAAAGTTAACTCTGGCGTCAGGCGCTTGTTCCGATATGGGTCTTCATACATATAAAATCGACGCGTATGATATTCTCAGCGAGGGAAGCGGCAGTGGAAACGATGTGAAAACTGAGGGTTTTCTCAGGACAAGAGCCGAACGTGCCATGAGTTGTGGTCCTGATTGCTGTGCTTTACTCGTTCAGCACGTCGAGGCCCTCACTGCTGATCGTATCGAGTCAACGATCAAGGAGATTCTAGAAGACACACGAGTTTTGATTGCCACAACGAATGAGGTTGACAAAGTACCCGATGGCGTTCGAGCCTTGTTTACACACGAGTTAGAAATGACAGCTCCTGACGAAGCGGAGCGTGAGTCTATTCTGAAATCCATCATTAGTGATAGGGGTGTCAGCCTTGAACCTTCGATCGACCTCAACTCAATCGCTCTCAAGACCGCTGCGCTCGTGGCTGGCGACTTGGTCGATGTTGTTGAGCGTGCCTCTATCGCTCAGCAGTCACGACTGGAGCAGCTCTCAGCCAAGAATACGCATGACAACACGATTATCACGGTACGAGATGTGCAGGTCGCTGGTGGTCCCCTTGCCCGCTGCCTTACCAAGGGAGATTTTGAAATTGCCGTCGAGGCTGCTCGCAAGAACTTCTCTGACTCTATTGGTGCACCAAAGATCCCCAACGTTACCTGGGATGATGTTGGTGGTCTCAACAACGTCAAAGAAGCCGTTACTGAGACCATTCAACTACCACTTGAACGTCCTGAGCTGTTTGCGAAGGGTATGAAGAAGCGATCAGGTATTCTGTTCTACGGTCCTCCCGGAACTGGAAAGACATTATTGGCCAAGGCGATTGCTACTGAATACAGTCTCAACTTCTTCAGTGTGAAGGGACCAGAGCTTCTCAACATGTATATCGGAGAGTCCGAAGCCAATGTTCGACGCGTGTTCCAACGTGCTCGCGATGCTAGACCTTGCGTTGTCTTCTTCGACGAGTTGGATTCAGTGGCACCCAAGCGTGGCAACCAAGGCGACAGTGGTGGTGTTATGGACCGTATTGTCTCCCAGCTTCTGGCAGAACTGGATGGTATGTCTGGAGGTGATGATGGCGGCGGTGGTGTTTTCGTTATTGGAGCAACCAACAGGCCAGATCTTTTGGACCCTGCCCTTTTGCGACCTGGTCGATTTGATAAAATGCTTTACCTTGGTGTCTCTGACACCAATGACAAGCAGCAAACCATTCTGGAAGCTCTGACCAGAAAGTGAGTTGATACCATCTTTCTCTAATCCAACAGTGGCTAACCTCTTTGCAGATTCACACTTCATCCATCAGTATCACTCGCTTCAGTGGCAGAGAAACTCCCCTTCACATATACCGGTGCCGATTTCTATGCTCTCTGCAGTGATGCAATGCTGAAAGCCGTCACACGGCAGGCCACAGCTGTGGACAATAAGATTCGCGCCATCAATTCTGATCCAGCAACCCAACATCCCATTTCCACGGCATATTATTTTGATCACTACGCTACCCCTGAAGATATTGCCGTTATGGTCCAGGAAGAAGACTTCCTCGCAGCTAATGACGAGCTTGTGCCTAGTGTCAGTGCTGGCGAATTGGCTCACTATGAACACGTCCGGGCAACCTTCGAGGGAGTCCGAGAGAAAGAGCCGGAAAACAAACCACCTCCAGTCCAACGTGTTGTCTCAGGGGCGTCGACATCATCAAAGGGCAAGGGTAAGGCAGTTGCTTCAGGATCGAGCAAAGGCAAAGGCAAGGCGATCGCATTGACAAGCGGCGACGAATTTGATGAAGAGGACGAGGTGGATGATATGAATGGCAGATCCAAGGGCAAAGGCAAGGCACCTATGGGCTTCCAAGATGGAACAGCCAGCGATGACGATGGCTTGTATTAGTTGGGGATGGAACATTACGGCATTATATAGCATTTTTGTATATTGAGTGTTTGAGGGGAGATTGGGTATTTCTTGTTATTAATGTCATGGTGGTATATCGGTTGAGTGTGACTAGACTCTGTACACTATTATTCCCCCCATCTGACTAGAACATTGAAGCAAAATTCTTGATTCGTTCTGCTCCAAATCGCTCTTATTTCTTGGCATCCTTCTTGACTTCTTTCTTAGTGTCTTTCTTGGTATCCTTTTTAGAGTCCTTCTTAGTATCCTTCTTGGAATCCTTCTTGGGGTCTTTCTTCACGTCTTTCTTGGTGTCCTTCTTAGGATCCTTCTTGACTGACTTCTTGGTGTCTTTCTTGACATCTTTCTTGTGGTCCTTTTTAGAGTCTTTCTTCGAGTCTTTGTGAGAGTCTTTCTTGATCTCTTTCTTGGTGTTCTCGGACTCTTCTTTAGGCTTGTCATCTTTGGCAGCTTCTGCAGTTTCTGCTGCTGCTGCTGCTGCTGCTGCCGCCTCGGGTTCTGGCGTTACCACAGGCTTCTTAGTTTCTTCTTCCTCATCGTCTGTTTCGTCTTCATCATCTTCTTCGCTGTCCTCGTCACTATCCTCATCAGTGTCCTCCTCCTCCTCCTCTTCGGTCTCATCCTCATCGTCGTCCGAGTCATCATCGTCCGACTTTGTCTCAGCCTTCTTTTCCAATCCGGGCTCTTCCTTTATGGCCGTCTTAGCTTCCACAGCCTTAGCCTCGTCTGGGCTCACCTCCACACTGGCTCGTTTCAAGGAGGAGATTGATCCTGGACCGCTTTCCTTCCAAGTACCACTAGTCGGGCTCTGAATAGCGTTTCGGCCTGCATCAGTCTCGGCCCATGAACCGGATGTTGGTGATTGAATGCCATCGGTCTTTGCGGCAGGAGTTTCTGATTCCTTAGATTTTCCAGTGTCCTTTGCGCTTCTGTCCTCCTTCTTAGCCTTCGCACCATCCTTACCATGAACCTTTTCTCGCAGAGTCTTCAGGCGAAGTTCCTTAGCCTTTTGCGCAGCTTCGTCGGCGACGGATCGGACAGGTAGGGCCTTCTCTTCCTTCTTAGGTTCTGTAGAAGTCTTCGGTGTCGCAGAAGACGCGGCGGCCTTGGCTGCCGGTAGCGGAGGCGCAGCAGGAGCAGGCTTTGGAGCAGCAGCAGCGCTGGCGGCTGCTGCTGCTACAGCCTTGGCGACAGGCGAAGGGGTCATGGAAGCAAGAAGGCCGCCGGTGAGGTCGATGGGCCGTTTTAGCGGGGGCTCGGGAAGTTTATCGTTGATGGAGGGGATGGTGAATTCGTCAAAGTAAATCGTGACATGCTCCTTGAGCTCACCATATTCGTTCCATTCTTCGATTTCAACAATATCCTACAGAAAGCCACATGCATCAGCTATACGACGAATGGTAGTACTAAAGGGGATGTTTGTCGTACTCCTAGAACCCAGCCCTCCTGAACCAGGGCAGGAAGTTTCCTCGGGCGACCGCTCTTGTCTTTACCAGCTCTTCGACCCCATAGCAAGCGAGCCTTGGTGTCGACGGCAATATCGATGGCTTTGAAGGGAACTCGGTTGGCGCGTAGAATGGTCTCGAGACGTGAGGTGGCCGTGACGATGTGGGACGAGCCAGCTGTCAGAGAGGTGTAAATATAGAGGGCAGGGTCGTTCAAATAGTTGGTCATGTTGGATTAAATATTAAATAGTTTGATATGATTCGACTTGATGGAGAGAGTATGAGTTGTTCGTCAGGGTATTGGCATTATCTGGTGGAGTTATGGAATGCGGTTGGGTTTCTCTGGACAACTGTCAAAGCAACGGTAGTAGGGATAATGGAGCTATCTCAGCTACGTAAGCATGAGGTGTAGGTACTGTGTCTCGTAAAATACCAGGCGGAGTACTTGGACGCCGAGAAATAGGGGAACCGAACTCCTTAATTATAGCGCTCCAACTTGGAGCCTCAGTTGGAGGTATGATGCGGGGGCGGGGCATTTGGAACTGTTGCTGCAGGAAGATCCCCTGAATGCATGAGAGTGCTTTAGTGGAAATGCATGAGAAGGGTTTCGAAATACATGTCAGAAACGCGTTTTGTGGTTGTGATTCTTTTTCCAACTACCAATGAGTTGCCAACTCAAGATGCAATACTCTCTCAGAAACAGACAATACAGTGTATCGTTTGTGTGGCTGATACACATCTCGTGTTAGTGATATGGTGCTAGAGTGAGGCTGTTGAACTGCATTACGAAAGAAGAGAAAGAGATTCTCCACCGTGTCGTCAGTTCTTCCTTCCCTTTGTTTTTCTTCTTCTCATCTTTGTTTCTTTGATTCCTCAGAATGTCGTTCTCTCCTTTATCATCAACAATTGATATCAAAACCCCTGAGAAGAACCCCTTAAAGAATGCCCCTAGGCCTGGGGCTTGTCCTTTGTTCGCCGCTACTGACGGATGCCCACGGACACTATGGACGCCATCTTGATTCGGAATCGTCCACTATCGACGCATGGACAGCGAAAGGCAGTGTCTAACTGCCCGTGATATATCCTGAAACTCCTTTATCTTCCACTTGAGACCAAGCGATCCTCAATTCGATCAAGCCATCGAGCTAAAGATAGCCAACCTACCCGTCTGCACCAGCAACTACCCGCATCTCCAGGCGTCCAACAACTATTACAAAGGAAGCCATATCCTTCGCTCAGAGGATGACAATTTCGTGTTAACCCCACTCTCAATCTATTTATCGACACTGCAGATGATAGTCGCATCTTGGCATGATTTTGGATGGCAGTCAAGATCCAACATTAGAGCACTATCGGCTAGTCGCCGCTCTTTTGCATGATATCTATTTCTCTTATTGATGCGGTGTACCAAGTCACTGCGCCAGGACTATTCCGTTGGCAACAAGAGCCGCTGCAGATCCAGTATTGTACCAGTCTGGCTCAGGTCGTGCCGCTCGCAATAACGAAGGGCCCGCCCCTTAATAGCCAGTTAGATATTCTCCCTTCATCTGGACTAGGCCATGGCCCTCGGTGTGGCTGCCATTAGGCGGCGCCAGTTCAAGATCTGGAGGCGTTTTTAAAGTGTTTCAAGCCTTGTGCACGCACTTTAACTGAGGCATCTGTGACTGTCTCTGAAGTCACTCAAAGCCAAGTCATCACGAGGGTTTTGTCTGAGATGGGTTTGCAGTTCACTTTCCTCTCACCACCAGCCTATCTTCGCGTGGCGGAATAATCCCCTCGTCAGAAGCGCTGTAGCAAGCCGTTTCATAACCTTGCCCACGCCGCCGCATCGTGGGACGTTGAATGAGACGCTCTGGTCCTCGCCATGGGTCCGGGAAATTGTGTGTCAAGCGATGCAACCGAATCTTGCAGTTAACTCCGTTAGTCGCATTACAGAGGACAGTCTGGGTTGCACAATGATCTTGGGTCTGAAAATTTTTCTTCTTCTTTGTCTCTCTTTACTCATTTACACTGACAGCTTTGTCGACACACAAATGTCAAAGGTCGCATGGCAACGAACCCACACCGACTTCTACAACAATGACAGTTGGTCAAGACACAACAAAACCACGCAAAAGGGGAGATGCTAAAATAGATGTTCTTTGCTGGCTCCAGCAAAACACGTCCCTGCGAGCCTGGCAAGCTTTGATTGGTCCAGGATATGCAGCCGAAGACAGTTTGCCAGTGACCGATGCTTCCTTTGCAAGGAGCAGACTGGGGCCAGAATAGAGCTAGACCGGGGTAAGCACTCTAGCTCAGGAACAAGCCAGTCAAAAGTGCAGTAGCCAAGGTTCTGCCCGATCCTCAACTGGGTTCTAGGCTGCCTTTGGATCCAATCACCGTCCACATTTATGACTGCGATGCAAGGTACCGTTGTGTGGTGGTACCGACGAAAACCATTTGGACCCAATGCCGGGGCTAACTCATAAACTTCCAGGTACGGGGAACAATGCCAATCAAGTTGGGGGCTAATGAGGTGACAACGCACCAGGGCTCTGACTGCTAGATAGGCAAGGGTATGGACAGATGGATGGACGGTCTTTAATGGACAGAGATTAAGTCCCGCAGTGTGTGCGAAAACTACAAGTTGCGCTTGGTATCCGCCCAGGCGCCTTGTTTAGTTTCCTCTTGTTTACCTCCTCAAGTGCGCTTGTTTTCACGATATCAATCTTCCAGCTTTGTGCTACACACTCATTAAACGATTCTTGATAACATTCTTTGTGCTTTGCACCCTACAGTCTTTTTTTTGCTCAACGCAACAAGAATCTCTTACGATATCTTGAGAAATCACCACAGTTCTTTTCAAACCACCCACAATCACCATCACAATGCAGTTCTCCAGCATCATGATTGCCGCCGCTGGCGCCTCGGTCGCCGCTGCTCAGGACTACGCTCCTCCTGCTCCTGTTCTGGATACCACAACACTCACCTCGACCACTACCCGGGTTATCACTCTTACTCAGTGCAACCCTACTGTGACCAACTGCCCCCTTCGTACCACAACCTCGACCGAGGTTGTCGTTACCACTTCGACTGCTGCGCCCGAGGTTCCTACCACCTCTGTCTACGTTCCCCCTACCACCAGCGTCTACGAGCCTGTTGTCAACACCACCAGCCATGAGCTTCCCACTATCATCAGCACTCCTACCATCAGCACCACCAAGAAGGCTCCCTCTGCCAAGACCACCTTCTATCCTGCTGGCAACACTACCACCAAGGCTGGCCCTACTGCTCCTGGTTCTTACACCACCACCAAGCTCCCCGTCCCTGGCAGCAGCACTGATGTTCCCGCCAACCCCGGAAAGCCTGGCTATGAGGCCCCCAGCCCTTCCACCGTGCCTACCGCCGGTGCCAGTGGTCTCATCGCCTCTTCAGGCTTCGTCGGCGCTGCCATGGTCGCTGCCATGGTTGTTCTCTTCTAGATGCATTAAACCACTTGGTTACACGATCCAGCCTGTCCCTTGGCAGACATGAATTATTCTTCACTTCACTTATGATACCTTCTTGTTCTTCTTAGGGGATGGCCGTTTGGGGATTTTTTTTATATAAAGGCGAGATTCTAACCGCGAGGCAATGTCTTTTTCGAGATTGGCTACTGTGTAGCTATTTGATTCCTTGCAGGTCATCGATGAGGCGCATGGAATACCCAGCGCGGAGTTTTCTGAATGCATCATGTGTCAGTCGCGTACACCTTGGCTTGTCTGCGTACGCATATGGTGTCTGGTTCTGGGCTTGGAGGCGGAAGCCTCGGAATGTTGAGGAGTTTAGAAAATTATGTTCACATCACATTGATAGAGTCATTCAAATCCAATTCGACACGAAACGACACATGACAAGTTCATCTACGCGTGCGTGATAATTGTGCATATGCTACGTAGTTATGTGATCAGCTGCTGTTGTAGATGCATCGCCTGGTCGAACGAGCTGATTCTTTGCTTACATGTGCAGACTGACTCAGCGGCGACGTCTTAGCAGGCTGTGGTTATTCTCTTGGCCTGACTCGATAGTGTATGTCGTTGGTTGTAGACGTCAGCTATTTCCATCATGTTCCTTGTAAAGATTCATGGAAATGTCATCAACTCCAATGAGGTTGGGGCTTTAATACAGTATAATAGCAATGTACTATACTGTAGTATGTCATCTGTAGATGTCTGCATATGTATGCAGTCTAGCAGAGTATGTTGAGTATGTCTCTCACTCTCTGCATTGCATACATTTTGGTGTGAGGCATGACTCTCGTACCTTGTGCATTAGGTGCGTGTAACCACACTCATTATGAAGTTGCAATACTCATGTCGAAACAAGGACATCATCTTTTTCGCCTCTTTAGGACGTTTTCCTCCAGCGGCGGCTAATAATTGACTCAGGCTAGAGTTGAAAAACTGGACATATCCACAACTGCAAGACCGTTACTCACGTGGTAAAAAGTAAAAAATTAAACTAAAGATATACATAGTTAAAAAAAAGTTCGGCGAAGTTCCTTGGCTTTTCAGAGGCATTTATATCCACAAATGGATAAAATATTAACCTTTTTTTTTTTTTTTTTTTAACTTGATGTTCGTTGGTGGACCTCTTTCTTCACACCCTCTGTAGCCTCTATTGGACATCGCCTCCAAAGCATCGGGACTGAGCCGTTGGGGTGCATTGAAGACTCTAGGCATGTAGTGAGGGTGTAGAGAATTAACTAGGTACCAAGTCGATGAGCCTGCCAAGCTTCTCCTAAAGTTCCAAGTATTCCAGTCACTTGAGATCGAGGTTTTCGGTTTTCTTACATCCCCGTGTGAGACCTGTCATTTCTTTTGTGTGCTTGTCCTTGTTATACCTATCATGCCTGCACAGCTGATCAACACAGGCTAAAAGACGGGCAGTTGCTACATTAGGAAGATTCTCACACGCTTCTGGCGGACTGCATATGCGCTGTCTTGAGTCGTTCCGTTGCTACTGTAGGGAGGTCACTCTAATGTCGATCTCTCTGAGCCGCATCTGGTGACGTGCAGGTTTTGGCTGAGCAATGACTGGGACATGCAGAGAAAGGCTTGGAATACGTAAAAGGGCAAGATATTTGCTCAACGCGCGGTCATCAGCTTATAATACATGTATCATATAATGCGACTTTTGTCACTGTGAGACAGACATGGCGGGACATGGTAGCTGCGAGCAGTTTACTAGAACTGGCTTAAGTTGTCAACTTAATAACCAACGCACATGTACTATTATTAATCATTAAACATACTAACAAAATCTCACTCTTTGCCAAATTCTCACTGTCGGCCCGGTCCACGCCCTACAGACGGTCCGCCGGGATACGCCCCCCGGCCAAAACCCGCGGGAAGCCAAGTTTATTGCTGATCTTTTTTGGATAGTCACATACACGATACATAGACATAATAGACTATTTGGTGATCAGAGAAACAGTAAAAAACATCAGATCAGATCAGATCATATCATATTCTCAAGTCTCAACAAACAAGTCTCGTCTCGCAAACCTCGCCTGTTTTGGCTCAGCCACTTTCATACAGGAGAGTAGAGAAACTTTATGAGGCTTAGACTCAGGAATAGCCTCAGTATCTCGTTCTCAGTCCAATCACGACATTGACGGTTTGGATCTGGGAGGGAATGGGACGGGGATAATCTCACTATTCAGTTTTAGAGTGCTTCCGGGCTATGAGATACGGCGTAAGCACCATGGTCCTTTTGAGAATATGCATGTCGTGTACATTGTCTATTTCGGAACCCGATATTAACCTGCTTCATCCATGAATCTCCGTGCTTTCGGTCTTACATAGTACAGCATCATGCTTGGCAAGGGAGCGAGTTGCAGATGCTATGAATGACTTCTTGACGGGTATGACATGAATCGCATCTGTCACTGATGACCGATCATCACAATCTTCTCTTAACTACGAATAGGAGAGCCACTCAGACAACACACATGTCACCTCATGGAGCATCTAGTCTCTTGGCCGTCTCTGTGAAGGCTGCGTGCCATTTCGCTATCTTCTCTAGCCCCGTGATTCTACAACTAGCACGGGCGGATTGGACCTTTGCATCATATTCAGTGGTCGATTGACAGCGCTTAATGAGATCCTAAGTGGCTTTAATACGGGCGTAGTGGCATCAAGGTTGGTGACGGCGGCTACACAATGAACTAATAGATATCCATCAGACTATGGAATCATAGTCGAATTTAGAAAAATACTAAACATCACGGCCATATTACGGGTCGATAGGTAGATGCCGCCACAGTAGACGTGTAAATCGTAGACTATCTCTTGCTATGCTGACTTCGCTGGAAGAAAAAAAAAAACAGTACCCCAATTCCACCCACTCTCTGTCGTCAAGTCGAAATTTCTCACTGGCCCAAGTCCACCTACGCCTGTGCCTTGTCTTACATGTCCACCAGCCTCACCCCTCCCGCATTATGCTTTCCGATCCTCCAATGAACCCTGCCAACGTTACGCCCCAGCACGTGGGAACCACGGCCATGTCTAGCTAGGTTCTTCATCAAGACAGACGGATGTCTTACATGATTGCGTGAGTATGTGTGCGTATCTGCAGGCAGACCCCTACCAGTCTCCCATACCGCATGATCCGAACCATCGCGTCGGTTACAAGCCTATCTCCAGATGTCCTCTGAAGGTTGCCTTGATCGATCGATTCGGAGCGCTAAGACAAGACCTGGGGTCGTGTAGGAATGGCTCACCATCGCCGAGGATCTACACGATGGCCAGCCAAGGTCGACAAAGGGTTTCTTCAACCGCATGATGATCCCTTGCACATGATGCAAAGACCGCTTCCATCTTTACTCAGGTTTTCGCAATTGTGGACAGAATTGTGATCGCACACTGGGTGGGCTTGGTCGACAAGTCCTGACGAGTTGGCGCCGACTTTCGAGGTGGTGTTTGGTCGCATTGCAGCGCCATTTCGACGAGATATCTCAAGATGATCCATTGGAGTTTGTGGACGAGTTGATCTGGCCTTGCAGTGGCTGGCGAGGCTGCAGATGATAAGTTGCTCCAGATGACAGAGTTGGGTGGTATAGTTGGTCGAATTTCCCGAACAATTGGGACAGGAAAGGGTGAAACAGTCCAAGACTCGCCTCCAAAGTAAAAGATTTGCCTCTCGTGCAGATGATACTGGCCTCAATGGTATGTTCAAAAAGGGGGACAGGCTGTAGTTTTGTAGGGCTGAGATGAACAAACGAGTGATTTGGTTGTAGTAACAATGCTCACTTCCAAGTATTGAGCGGGACGGGACCTCCGGCTTCTTATGAACATTAGTTCTCGTCCACGACGGGGGTGTTTGGCTCCAGGATGGTCATCTGAGCTCTACCTTGAGGGTCCTCAGTTGGATCTCTTGCCTTCGTCGTCATCAGACGGGTTTCCTCATTTCTCTTCTCTCAATGCAGTTCCCATTTGCGTATCAAATTCCATGCAGCAAAGCGGCGGGTGAGAGGTTAGCATCTGTGCTCTGAGCCATTGGTACTAACCATTGTCTTGTCGCCAGGTACGGTCTACAGTTGGCCGTGGAAATCCTCCGTTTGGCACTACCAATCCCAATATGGTGGGTGAAGGTCTCACTTCATTTCTTGATCTCCTTTGTTTCTAGAATTCCACCTTGCATCAACGCCACTCGGCAATGGGTCAGAACTACAGGATCAGCAGTGGTGGTACCAACAAGAGCTGGATTCTGCATAAACCACGCAGGGGTGTTCTGTATGGCCAACTGAGGTCACAGCATCTTACTGCCGGTCTCTGGTCAACTGCCTGTTTTCTTCCATGTGCCGTACTCCGTAACCGTTCTACAGCACCTCATGTTGAGCTTTGCCGGGGTGGTGCGGCCAGTAACACCACCATCTGTTCTTCCAAGGCCTCACAAGCGACTTAGTACTTATCTATAATTTTGTCCGTGACTACCGCGGGAGGGCCCAGTTGACGAGACAGCGCAAGAGACCGAAGAGGGGCTTGGCGTGTAACTAATGGCGGATTTTCCTTGCATTCAGTGTACCGTATCGTACTGTGCTATGCTGTGCTATCAACCTGTGCATGTAGCTCCCTGCCCACGCTTGTATGGGTTGCAGTGCAGAAGTATGGGCCAACATGAAGCATCTTGTAGCTCGACTTGTCAGTAATTGCGGCCATTTCCCCGCAGCGTAATCCACAGAGAAGTTGATCACCCAGGAGTCTCCCGTCCCGTCTGCATTTCGTCAATGCGACTGACAGTGTATGTGTGGTGCAGAAACCAGCGTTAGACCTTCAGAAACTGAGATCTGATGAGTTACGTACACTATTGGATGCTCCGTGCCCGTTATTGTCTTGTGCGTGTGTTTGTGTGGGGGCCGGGCTATGAGGGGAACGGCACACAAGACAAGAGTCGGCCATACTCGTCGTGACTAGTCGGATCTTGTACGGCCTATCGACTGAATTTTTAATGGTCCGCGGCGCTGCGTATCCGCTGTGTTTGTGCCGCCGCCTGGGCCGTTCTTGGACTTGGACCTGGACCTGGACCTGGACCGTCAGGGTCTTCTTCCTGAACCTTATGCCAAGCCATGGATCCTAGAGCAGGGGATGTCTGAGCAACACATCGATAAACATATCTAGGGATCGGAAAACCGAGCAGCCTTGTCGTCCAGACTCAAAGCGTCCGTTCCGGTTGCATTGGTCCACAAAGATCGATCCGCCCTCTGTTTGTCACCATCCCTGTATGTTTGTGTAACACACATAGTGAGCTTCCATGGTGTCGTGATGGCGAAGAGATGCGTGTGACAGTAAGCCATTTTCGACGATACAACTGATGGGTGCACATTGGACCACAGTCCTAATACCTCAGCCCTGGTGGTGACGAGGACCACCTAAGACTCCTGGCAGTCTTACAGTGGAGAATATGTGACAACTAACATGGCTTTTTGCCGGCGGCAACGGGCTGGCCATGGTATGGCCATGGGTGATATTCAGGCTGCCTCTGAACATGCATGAGTGGCCGTGAGAGGGATAATGGAAGCACACTGGAGTGACTAGCTGGTACATGAGACAGGGTCTTGTCATAGCCAAATGCTGCTCAGCGTATTGAGCATTCCAAGCCACCAGTTATAGGCCGTCATGTCTTAGGCCGGCTCATACGTGCACTGAGGTCCAAGCGTTCCACTGGAAAACAGACTGGGTTTCTGATGGCTAAGTTGTAAGGACATTGACCAACGTTGGAGATCGAAGATAACTTTGTCGTGTTCTACCAACAATCAAATAGCTCGCCTGTGATCATACAGGCTAAACCTGTCATGGTCTTGCATGCTTACCCTAGCGTTGGCTATCATCGGCCGGGTTCCATGAATGTGATCTGATTCGCCGATGTGAGGCTAACATGCAACCATCTGCCAGAACCTACCCAAACCAGATGTTCTGTGCAAGCTGTCTCAGATGGGGGAAGAGACTGAGACATTTGTCCACACATCAAAGTGAACTATGGTCTCGGCACTTGAACTATTCGATATACTCTGCCGTGATATCCAATTGACGCCCAAATAACCGGTTTATGAGAAGAAGGATCTGGACTTCTAAAGAGGGACTTGAAAGGTCCAACAAGGCGGAAGAAGCAACAAATGTTGGGGCGAGTACCTCATGGACACCTTCCTTTCTCCCATCATTTGTTCCGGTTATTTGGCCATGGAAGATGTAAGCTGCTAGACCACCTTGTCGCCTGATAGAATTCAATTGAGATATTATCGACCTGATGCTTGCACTGTGGCTTCTTATCTTGAAACCGACTTGCATATCAGCCATGGCAAGCTGAAGCGCCATTCGTTAAGCGAGATGTCTAATCTCGATGTTCAGCATAAAAGAGCCAAGCAGTCACCGGCGCTATAATTGGTTCAATGGCGCACGCCGGTTTGAGGTGGCGGTGGTGCGTGGGTATGATTCTGGACTCGCAAACTAGTACAGATACTGCCCATGTTGTGCATTCTGATAGTAAACTGTGATCTTGAGACTTCAATCGTTGGTAGGGTGGTGTGTATGGACATGATCCATAAAGGCTAGGTCGCAAGCATGCCTGGTAACAATGTAAAGGGAAGGATTGTCAACCAACCTGCAGTGAGCTATCAGTTATACTTTCCGAATTTATACTAAGTTTGCAGTGTCCACAAAGGAGTTTGATGACTGGACGCCTTGTTGTCCACGGCCCATTGGTCTCGTTTGAAGTATGTGAAGGATCAGTTGAGATGGTTATTCGCATGCTAATCCAAGGACCAGAAATCGGCCGATGAGACGCGTCATGTTAGATTTAATATGTGGATCGGAATGCTTGACCCACGGCATGATCAGGTAAATAGAACGAGAATCAAATCTCATATTGTCGTCAATGCTGATGTAGAGCCAATGTTTGCAATCTCCAACAAGAGCTGAGCGAAGCCCCTGATATCATGGTAGGAAATCCATCATTGAACAGTACACAACTGAAGCCATATACGTATGAAAAACATCGAATTCTCGAAGCAGTGGTGGGTTCGTTCGGATGTAATGCGATGTCATCTTGAAACAGCATAATTTTTGTTGTGTTGGTTCGTGAGGTGAAGTTGAAATGAGGTTGCTAGAACCAACAACTAAACGCGCTTGTGCACGTGCTATGTAACTATACTTGTGCGGCTATCAAGGCAAGCGCCGTGATTGAGGTCATCATTATGTCTGTTTGGGAAACAAGATTGGCTGCTCCATGGAGTGCCTTCCAAATCCATACTTGCCGCGGCCGGGTACCTTCCATCAAAGTCTGTGCTGTGCTGTGCTGGCATTGCAGGTGCGGATGAGACTGCAACTTCAGGCGGCAGCTAAAAGAGCTCCCGTGCAAGCTAATATCAAACTTAATCGCAGAAGGACCCTCAACTGAGATGGGACCTTTGAAAGTTTCTTGGCGAAACTACCTAGTGCCAGTGACTGTACCAGGTTTCGATGGTGTTTTCTTTTCACTCTTTCCCGGGATGAGAGATACGGCGCCTAAGCCAGATGAGGTTACACAAACATAACGGGACTTCCCTAATGCCCTGACCCCGAATCTCTGGCCTTGGATAGTGGGGAAATACTCAGCCGTTGGTGGCGGTGGATTCGCATTTGAATATTGATTATGAAGGACATTGGGGTCAGAAATCAAGACAGATACAAGGGGCAATAGTTCTTGTTTGCTCCTGATCCCAAACTACTAGGTACGTAAGTCAAGTTGGTAGGGTATATCCAGCCTTGACAATGGATCTTGCTTTTGAATTTGAGTCAGCAATGTGACAGGCAATTCACTCAAACGAGTCAAGTGTGGCATTGACATCATCCAGACCCGAGAATTCGGGTGCCCCTCACATCTGACATCTCAGGTGACCCTTGACAAACATTTCTTGAGGCATTCAATGCTCTCATCATTCGACCATCCTCAAAGCAAAGTTCGAGTGGCCTTTCTATCCCACACTGACCAAACTTGGCGAGGGCTTTTAAAGAATACCAGTTGTTATCAGTCTTTATCAAATACCGCAAGCAAACAGACCTCTGATACACATGCTCCCCCTCCTTCAGGCAGCGGCACAGCAAATTCTGAGGTGGTCTATCAATATGATGAAAGTGGACTGACAAGCTGACTCCTAGGACCCTTGAATATGTGACATGGTTCTCGAAACCACAATCACCTGTTTATTGACAGCCCCCACTCGACAAACTCAATTCTTATAACGAAGTTCGAACAACCAACAGACAATCCATTATCTGCACCTGGCCAAACATGGCTGTTCTGCAGGATTGCACCCCATTTCAACGCTACGAGTCTCAAGTATACGTCGCTCATAACCCGGAAAACTCTCGCCTTTCTGTTGTTGGGTCCGAACCTGTGTTGAAATGTAACTCCCAGAGTCCCAAGCAACCGATATGAAGACGTCTGAAACATGCGAGACATTCATCAACTTGCACCAACACGCCGGTTGACGACCAGACAGAACGCGAAGAACGTCGGTTTTTGTATGGAACAGGAGAAACATGCTGTCCAAAAACATGGCGCACAACTTTCCTACCTGTCGCGTAACTTTCAAACGACAAGTCAACTCGTCAACGACAGACCAACATACATCCGAGGTCATTATCCGAGTGGCCTAATCCGAATGCTACGCAAGCATAAAAAGAAACACCATGGCGAAGGAACTGAGCTGCATAATGTCGGCTGATATGCGCCACCACCGACTTACCCTCAGTTATAGGTCATCAAGGTATAATAAATGCAGGCTGGATCCTGAACCGCAGCAGTCATGAAGTCATGAGACCGAAATCAAATGATTCATTATAGCAAGCCTTGATAGGGAAGACAGCCTGAGGGTCGGGGTTAAGCAATGCCCCATGTGCCATTTCTTTGGAACGGACAGCTGCATTGCTTCATATCTGGACCATGTCGAAAAAGCTTATAAGCCTGGTAATCCTTGCTGGACCCTGAAAGTTTTATGTAAGCTTGGCCGAAGCTTGGCAAGACATTATTCGGTGTCCCTGACACTAAACCAGTAAGCATATGAAACACTTGGAGAATTGCTTCAGGCTCTCCATGGCGGGGATATTGCGAAAATGATGCATCCTCGAAACTGAATTCTTGATAGTCAAAACCAGAGATGCCCTTCGAGGGTTGTTCTTACAGGGCAGCATAAATGAGCACATGGATAGGTACTTAGTATGAAGACTTGAACAGCGAATGTTCTCACTCCACTCCATGGCATGGGACCCGAGAGCTGAAGGGCAGAGTCTATTGTCAGATGAATCATCAAGACAAAGGTTAAACTGCTACTTCTGGCTGGCTGGAATCTTGTCCAGCAATAATCTCCCCTGACATGGCTTTCTTGAATCTTGACCAAGTCTTAATGGCAAGATTTGAATCTTTGGGGGTGAAGTAACTTCAGCGCAAGAACAAAGTAAATTTGAAATATTAACCCAATTCAGATTATGCGAGGCTACTGATGATTCACTGTGATACTCTTATGGAGCCTCTGTCAGTTATTTCATGAACAGGCGTCTCCTCTACCCCGCGAATAGCTTTGGCGTTGAGATGGGTCGGGGACGAGTTTGTGTCCCAGCGAAACAACGAAAACCCGTCAGGCTCGATTAAGCTGAAACAAGCTAACAGGCAGCTAAATTAGATTGATTTTTATTTTATTTGTTGATTCTCGTGCTGGATTATCAATAACTTGATTGTGGCCGGAGAGTAAACCGTAATAGAGCAACAGGGTTCAGAAGACTACTCTGCTAGTGGTAGCTTGAAAAGTGGCCTCGAAAGCCGTCAGAATCAGAGTCCTGAAGGGCCACGTATCCTCAGTTGCTAAAAAGAGGGGCCAGCGATCAAACTTGAGAGGTGTCGTGCATAAGACCTACGAACCCCTGAAAGAACCATGCACTGAATTCGTATCTGGTAAAGCCGAGTACGAGAGAAAGGACATGTAAATCCGGAGGCTGATATCGACCTCAGAGATATTAGATTGGGCTGGTATTGGATTGGAATTGGAACGAGCTTGGTGGGGGGTTTGATCGACAAGTGGTGAGGGAATGACTGGCTGGACTGTAACTGTACCTGCGTTTTGTGGCTGGGATTAAGCTCAGGAGAAAGAGGCTCAATTTGAGAGAGAAGCTGCTCATATTGCATCAGTTCGTCGTGTTTGTCTATCTACTTAATCAAGTCATTAATGGACAATTAATGATCTGGACTGTCCCGTCCCTCCCCGAGACATTGGATTGAATCCCAATACTATCTTACCCCTATCACCGCTGAAAAGAACACCTT